CCTCCAGCTCTACACCTTGTTATCTCAGACCCCAGCATCGGCAGTTCTTACTATCCTTTATTAACTGCTTTCTCCAAATATCCTGCCACCTTCGATGATCCTTACACATATACACCCAGGTCCTTCTGCTCCAACAGCCCATTTAGAATTATAACTACTATTTTCTATTGTCTTTCAATATTCCTCTGGCCTAAGTGCATCACCTCACACTTCTCTATATTGAACCTCACCTGCCATCTATCCGTCCACTTCACCAACTTGTCAATGTCCTTATGGAGATCCACATTGACAGATAGGAGGCTGCACCAATGACAGACAAACACTTGTGGAATAAACTAGTTGACTCTTTGGCTGCTTGACTCTGTTGAGTGGGTAGCCAACCTGGTTCCCAGCCTTCATTTGGGAAAAGTGCTCTGGAAGCAATTTACATGGGTTTACTGTTAAATATTTGTTTCAGTAATTCTATAATTTTGATTGTCACACTGTCTGTCTCCAATTTGCCAGTATTGCCATTCCTGTCATTCCATTTCCCTCCAGTTTCCAACAACACCCTGACCTGTATCATGACCATGATCCTTTTTGGCTTAAATTGAAAACAGAAAATGCTGGCAACACTCAGCAGGCCAGACAGTAGCTGTGGAGCGAGAAAGATTACTAGGCAGATGACCTTCCATCAGAAGGTTCTGTCTCCACAGATGTTGCCAGATCTGCAGAGCTTTTGCTGCATTTTCTGGTTTAATTTCAGATTTCCAGCATTCCCACTATTTTGCTTTTGACTCCCTGACCATGATGTCAGTGTCTTACAGACCTCCTTCCATATGCTGAACCGTATTTGTAAATCAGTATTCTTACATCATTGTTTAAAATCACATCACAACATAACCACATAAGTGCCACTGACTTAGTTTGGTGCATTTTTGTTGACTTGTGGCTAAGGTTTTTCTCTGAAGAGGAATATTTTTAGTACAGATTATTTATCTGCTCTCTTAGGAGAAGCTGCGACAAATCTGATCTTCAGCCAATGCATTTCTCTCCTAAAACCAACACACTTTCAAAGCAGAGGATTTTCAGTCTTTCTCTGTTAGATCACTGTATTAACATTGTATAATTACATAAATCAGACTGAACATAAAGATGCATCATAGAAAATATACAAGCTGAGAAAGGAGGAACAAAAACAGAAAGTGAAGAAGAAACTCAGCAGGTCTGGCAATATCTGTGGAGAAAGTTAATGTTTCAAGTGCAGTACGGCTCTTCTTTGGAACTTCAGAACTGAACAGTTCAGAGGAAGGGTAAGATCAATTTAAAACATCGACTCTGTTTCTCTCTCCACAGATGCTGACAGTCCTACTGAGTTTCTCCAGTGCTTTCTGTTTTCATTTCAGATTTCCAGCATCTGCAGAATTTTGATTTTATTTGGAAAAAAGGAAGGAAGCTATTTAAGTGAGCAATGTTTTGTCAAATTACGCACAGTATCTTAAGCAGCCTTGAAATGTAACATAACATTGTAGTTTCATCTAGTAAAATGTTCGTATCGGCAAACACAACTTTCCATTTCCACTGTAAATATGGGTGGGGGTGGTTCTTCGACATTAGCGGTTTTCTCAATTTTTGCTGATTTTCTTCAACAGCTTCATGTTTTACATTAAAATAAATTAAAATTCAGTGGAGACTGGTGATTTCCAACACTTTCTGTTTGACATTATTGTTGACATCTTGTCAATGTGTCTGTATAATCCCTTTTATAGCTTATTGCCAATGTACTTCTGTTTGCAAACATTCTGAGGTTAATTATTCAAGGCAGCACTCTGTAACTTATGCAGGCACCACCCTTGCGAAAAACAACAGTAAGACTCTCCTGGAACTAAACAGAAGGATTTCTCTCCAAATTCACTTGTTTTAGGGAGTGACATCACCACGCTAAAGAATGCAGATTCACATTTTTATTTTTCAAAAACATACTTTATTCATAAAAATATCTTCATATACATACATAGTCACTTGAGCAGTTTGGTTCTGTGCATTCTTTGCATTTGGATAACCAACAGACATTGAAGATAGTAGGAACTGCCGATGCTGGAGAATCTGAGATAACAAGGTTTAGAACTGGATGAACATAGCAGGCCAACCAGCATCAGAGGAGCAGGAAAGCTGACGTTTCGGGTCTGGACCCTTCTTCAGAACAAAAAAACAAGCTCTACACCTTGTTATCTCTTTAAACAGACATCGGAGTTTGACTCTCCTGACAGTTCCAACAATTCAAAGGCATTTCTTACATATGCAACATATTGTTGACATATATTTGAGATACTGGAAGGGTCCAATAACTTAACAGACCCCCACTGTATTTTGGCAGAAAGACCCCAGAAGGTGATATTTCCCCACTGCACCATGGCAGCAGCTGCCCTAAGCTTTAGTGCGTCCTTTAGCACGTGGTTCAGTCGGCAACACTCACTCGATGTCAACACAGACTAACAAGTTTCCACCAAAGAGCGTCTTTCACCTAGTTGGTGGTTCTGCAGGTCCACACTTGAGATGTATATAATTTACATGTGTGGAGAGACGTCCTTTGACGACCATCTCACTGAATTGTGTTTGGTGGCGCACCTTTCATGCCCGTTGACTTAATTTTCGTTCTTGCTAAAACTCAGATGGTCGGGGTGGAGAGGGGCTGTGTTTGCCTGCTCCAGCACAGTTTGGAACGGTGCAATGATCTAGCAGGGGACACAGACAGGCACAAAACAGTGGAGGTCTATTACAGTCGTGGAGGCTATTGGTGCCAATCAGCCGTGGCCCACACTGGGGGCTCTGCTCTTCATTCATTCCATTGTTGGCCGCGTCGCGTCTGCGCCGTATGCTAACGAGGCGGCCGGCGGGATCCAATGAGAGTTGCGGGGCGGGGCTAGCAGCCTGGCTACATTAGCGCTACATGAGTGTTGCAGCGCTGGGAGAGAGAGAGGGGCCGGCGGGGGGAACAGGCTGACCGAATCTGAGCAGTTCTGAGAGGGACACACACACACACACACACACACAGCAGCAGCCCCGGGGGCTCCTCTGCCTAGCTCCAATCCACCCTCTGTCAGCACCCCAGGCCGGCCGTACCCCTCCGCGACTGATGCCAGCAGCAAGAGGCGCCGGGAGTGCAAGAATGCAAACAGTTCTTTCACTGCCCAGCCACCTTCAGGTGTTCGGGGCAAAATAAGAGGTTTTGGGGGCATTTCTCCTTTTTATTGTTGGGACTGGTAAAAGAAGGAACCTGGCCTCAGTCAGCTTCCTGGAGGGAGACAGGGGGCTGGAAAAGAACTCCTTGTTTGTTTACTTGCGATCTGGACTTTAAAGAGCGACAGAAAAGGCAGGTTGTCAAAGACTTTCAGCAATTACACGCACATTAGCGGTCAGTGCTTCTGGTGTGTCTCTAAATGAGGACGAGCTTCTCCACCCCACCCCACCCCCCATCCCAGCCCCCGTACCTCAGTGATTCTCCTGACTGTCAGTGACAGCCTGATGGATGCTTGAAAGGAAATCAATATCGAGCGTTGTACGCGGCGCCGTCTGTTGAATCATCTGGGGCTGTTGTGGTCGAGCGATCTGAAGCTATTCGGTGACATTTGCTGAGAATTCGGAGCGTTGCCTGAAGGTGCTGGGGATACAGAAGGCGCTGTCGATGGACGGTGTTATTGTGTGTGTGTGAGTTTGCAGCGACCGTGGGGAGAGATAGACCGCTCGCTTTTACACACAGACACGAACAAGCCCAGGCGTCGGCACAAAGTTGGGAGAGCGGACCGCGGATTGGAAACGACCAACTTGTCTTTTTTGTTTGTTTAAAGCTTTCCACGGGTTTTTGTTTTGTTTAAAAGTTTGCCTGCACCGTTGCTTCCCCCACCCACTTCCACAAAAACACAGGGGGGAGAAAAAAGAAGCCACGATGGACGCGTTTGGATTCTGCAGGATTTTCTCCTGGTTTCTCCTTGTGATCGGGACGAGCACTTGGACTGAAGTTGCCGGCCAAGTTTGTCCCAGTCACTGTACCTGTGCCGGGCCGGCTGTGGATTGTCACGGACTGGGACTGCGCTCTGTCCCCAAAAGCATCCCTAGGAACACCGAGAGACTGTGAGTACAAACCCAGGGACAGGTTCTGTCCCTGCCCTTCGTTTTCCCACATAGGTCGCTCGTAAACTTTCCTTTAAAAAAAAATCTCGATCATGTTCTGTGGCTCCCCGTGACTGAAAGAACCCGCAGACCGAGTCCCAATTTTCCACATACACACACACACACACACCCCGCAGTGTTAGAATGTGATGCGGGAACTGTCTCTATCTCGCTGCGTGCGGCTCGCGTTTAATCCAGGAGACTAGAGCAAAGGAGCTGTATTATTCCTGGAAGCCGTCAGGTTTAAAAATGTGCGTGCTGGATCTTAGCTGAAGTAGAGCTGCGCTTGTCTTTGCATGTGGTTGGAGCGCTGTCTTTGCAAGGTGAGAGGGTTGGAAGAGTCGAGCGCTGCAAGAAGGGGCTGCGAGCCAGCGAGCGGCATTGTGTGAGCCTGCCTCAAACATCAGGCAGATCAGGTATACCGGAGAGTTGAGAATTAAGGTGCAGTACACCCGGAATGCACACATCTCACTTGCTGACCGTCACGGTCTGTAGAATGAGACATCCATCGGGAAAGATTCTGATCATTTCCCTCCGTTTTGCTGTCTCGGATATCTGTAATGCTCACTGTCTCATTTTAATTCAAATACTTTGGGAGAGAATATTCCTATATCGCTGCCACTTGGAATCTGAACTTCCTTAGGGATAGTCAGATTGATCCTTGGACATTTGAACATGTCTCGATATATTACATAATGTACATTTTAGAAAGCGAAATCCGAACACGCTACATAAACGTGCCTAAAATGAAACATATTGTAGCGGTTTACAGATGGGAGCGTGGAGTTCAAAATCGTGCTCCTGGGCGCAGCCTCCCCCCGTTAATTACTGACAGCCTTTCGCTTAGAATATTAACTGAAATAGCGCAGTTCGTTCTGTGCAAGTGCACCAAGCCTTCGAGTAGGTCTGAAAGAATTGTGCCCTTATTATTGAGCTTAGTTGGCGAGTTTATAAGTAGTCTCAGATGCTTGCCGAGATTGGATTTCAAGAGCTCACTACGCTGTCAAAAGTCTACATTTGCACACAACAGATAGAGACGCACGCCTTTCTATCAAAACGCGTCTTTTTTTTTCTGAAATCCTGCATGACAGTGGAAGTTTCCTGCATTTCCTGTGCTGTATGTTTCACTTCAAAAAGAAACACCGGTATGAAATATTCCCAAGGTAAGGGTTTCACTTTCATACTGATTTCCCTCGCGGAAATGCACAATTTGCCGCAAACGGCGACTTCCATATTTTGTTTGGTGAACAGCGCTAACAGTTTAACACCTTCCCTTCCTCTCCTTTTGAGGAGATTAAGAATCGGCGTTTTGGTAGATGGCAATCAACTGGTAATAATTTAAAAAGTAATAATACACATGGTTTACAACTTTAGTCACGTACATCAATTCTGCCGCCCCAAACACATTCATCTTGCTGCATCCAGATCCCTTCCAAAACCTTATTTCTTTGACAGTTTCTATGGCTTCTAATACTACACCGACCCTCCCCACCAATTTGCTGAAGCAACTGTTGACCCCAACATGTGAAATTTACAGCTAAAAACACAGGCTCTCTGGATTGGTAGAAGGGCCAGTTTCGCTCTCTTTCTGCAACTGGTTTCAATATTCTTAGGCCAGTCATTATTTACTGACTCCTATTTTTAATTTTGCTTGTAGAAACATGATAGGGATTGCCTTACAGGAGAGTCTTTTAATTCTGAGACCTTCACCTCTTTAGTGGAGGACACTGTACTCATAAACATTTCAGATGGATGTGAAAATGTCTTGAGTGTTGAAATGAAGAATCAATAACGGGATGTAAATGCAGCAACTTGGGTATGCTTCAGGAAAGGATACTTGAGTCTGTGTTGGTGCTTCTCGTTGCTTCATTGTCAAATACTTTTTCTTTCCTTTCAGGGATTTGAATGGGAACAACATCACACGGATCACCAAATCAGCCTTCTCAGGATTGAGACATATGCGAGTTCTGTAAGTCCAGATCTTTCTGTTGCAAAGTCTAGCAATACAGCTTTGTTACTATTTACTTGCAGGTTGTGTCATTTGAAAAAAAAATACGGTTTGATATTTAATTATGCTTTGCAGTACCCTTTCTGAATGAAATGTAAGAATAACGTGTTGTTCAAATTAGCACAAGGCAGGGACAGCAGTGATTGTATGCTATAAATCTAGACCATTACACACTTAATGTTCCTCTCCCACCTGGTTACTGGCACTGAAAAATTCTGCAGGAAACTGTTATTAATTTTGGAAGTTAGAAATTGAAGTATAGGGCATAACTGCAATGATGCCATGGGATAGTTTATCCAATGCCTATCTAATGCTCAAGCTGCTTGCTGTTTTGACAATTTAATAGTAGTGTGACAGTGCACACTCTGCTGGGCCGTAACTGAGCCTGTTTTTAAGGTCCTTGTTTCACTTGTTTGTTGTGAATGGACAATAGTATTTATTCACCAATTTCAGAAAATTGACACAAGCAAATGCTATTCATTGAGTACACACAGGGACGCAGCCAGTGTCAAACATTTTTGAATGAGATAACTCTCAAAGGTTGGAACAAGATTTTGGCACCAGATCATTAAAATCAATATTTAATCCTAATCCTAATGCACCTTTTAAATAAATATTTCTGTATTAGAACACACATATGTTTCTTTTTACAAATACGTTGTTAATTGCTCCAAGTGAAATATGTTAGCATTAGAAAATAATACACACAATTTATACTCTAAAGTGCTGGTTGACTTGTCATTCTGTAGCAAATGTGTACACATACTCAACATGAATACTGCTCGCTCAGTCTGCCTTTTTTTTGCTACAACAACTTAGAGCTACTCTGTTATCGACAAATGTGTTTTTTTCACGTATCTTTTCCTTTGCTATTGGCCTAGAAACCAAACTCAAAATCCCATTTCAAATGCTTTCCTCCTCCCTCCCCCACCCATACATATTTTCTGTGCTGCACATGTAGCTGGATGGGTTTCAGGTGTCAGTATCAGGCAGAGCAAATTGGATGTGAAATCTCAAACGTGCGTACGATATGCTGTGAATAAAGACAAGCCAACCCACAGTCTGCTGTTAATGTTTGAAATGTAGTCATTCGAGGTGTTAATGGCTGCCTGCTTGTTCGTTACATTAAGATGCCATGGCTTCAATTTTCTGTCATCTGCTTCACAGACAGCTCATGGAAAACCAAATAACCACCATTGAGAGGGGAGCCTTTCAGGATCTGAAGGAGCTGGAAAGACTGTAAGTATTGTCAATAGCTGAACCTACCAAGGCAACTTCCCAGGAAGCTAAGAATTTAAATTTGGTCATTAGTACTACATAGCCAGAAGAAATCAAATGCAGGACATGAACAGAACATACTTCTCACTTTATAATCTCACGCTTTTTTTTTGGCTTCAGCATGCCTCTTATTTTGTTCCTGAATTTCTCCTGTATCTGTCACCATGTTACATGATTTAGGACAGGTTTAGTCTAACAAAAAGTCCTAATAATTGGTCAGTCTTCTGTTTCAGTAGCTTTGCAAATTTACTTGTTTGGATTTTCCTCAACAAATTATTTGAAATTAAACATTTAAGTATCAATTTACTTGTAAAAGTTTTAGTTTCAGTGGATACTATGCACATGAGTGCAAACTCACAGAAAATCGACCTTCATCTTGTACCTGGAACATTTAAATTGCTGGCCATGCCTTCAGCTGTCTAAACCCTATGGTGTGGAATTTCTTTCCTCAATCTCTCTGCCTCTGTATCCTTTAAAATGCTCCCTAAAAGCCGTGTCTTTGATCAAGCTTTTGGTTACTTCTATAATATCCTTTAGCTTAATATTAGTATGCCACAAGCTACATAAATGTAAAATGTGAAGGGAAAAGTACAGACTGTTGCAATGCTTCATACTTGGAAATTTTGTCAGAAAAAAATACATGATGTCTTGGGCAGAATTTTGTTGCAGCAGCAAGTGTCCTGATGGTGAGAGTGGAAGTGAGCTGCATATGCTCATGGAGTCTGAATGACTAGTCATGCATAATAGTAATTGTGGCCAGCTCGTCAGCCTTGCAGAGTTGAGGGGCATGATCAGTTGTGTGGTGGTGGTAGACAAGACGTTTCTAACCTTGCTATTACCTCATGAAGATCGGGATGCCATATTTAAATAGCGCCTAGACAAGTATTCATTCTGTACAAGCCAAGAACATCATTCTTCCTATTTGAGAGGAGGAGTTCAAACTCAAACTGCTGATCACCTCCCTAAATGCCTCACTTGGACCTCTGGAGATGCCATCATGCTGGACCCTCCCTCAGTCACCTTTAACCTTCCCTTCATCACCCTTATTCATTCTTCCATCACGCTAACCCTGCCGTGCATAACCCTTGAGCCAATATCCTTGCTCACCTATCAAGATGTCTCCTTGCCACCACAGAGCTGCTCCCACTCACATTGGACTGGTTCTCCAAGCGTTCTAGACCTTCCAGCCATCACCCTCGACTCTGCCTTTATCTCCTTAGACTTGCCCTTTGTTACATTTGACTCACACATCTCACCACTGAGTTGCCTTCAATCACACTTGCTCTCCCTTTCATCATGTCTGAGTTGTCTGTGACAGAGATTGACCATGCTGCTTGTCCCCTATGACTTCTCCTCGGGCCTCCCTCCCTCAGATGGCCATTTCCTTACTGTCCTTTTTATTCGCCAGCTGAGCTCAATGCAGCAGCTCAGTCTTGCCTCCAGAAATTCCACAAAGTTCACATACAAGAAAGGTTAGTTCCTACTCACTACAAATCCTTCAAGGGGACTACCTCATTTGCTGCATGCCACCTTCACACAGATGTGCATCCAAAGGCATGTGTTTCTCATTCACTGCTGATTTAATTGCAAAGGTACAATTAAATTTGCCGACCATCTGTTTTAATAAAAATGCATGACATGCTAACACATTCAAATAGGTTCCTGCTGCTTTCTGAGCCACAATCGGCCTATAATCCTCTGACAATTTACTTCCCAGTTTTTAACCTGCCATTGGGAAGTTGACATTTTGCCTCCTGTCTCGTTTCTTGCTCCTGTGAGTTTCGCTAGATTCTAGCTCTTGTAGCGCTCATAACGCAAAGTTTAATTTATCAAGCTACATTATAAAATTGGTGCACAAATCTATGGTATGGGAGGAGCCTGCATTTTCACTGCAGCCTATATTTGAATCAATATATAAAACATATTGTTTCATTTAAGAGATGAGGGCATAATTAATTTCCCAGAGTCAACCAGATTGCTGTGGGTCTGGAGTTACTTGTAGACAAGACCAGGTAAGGATGTCAGTTTCCTTCCCTAAAAAAGATTAGTGAACCAAATGGGCTTTTTCCCAACAACCAATGCATTGTCATCAATAGACTCATAATTCCAGATTTTTATTGGGTTTAACCTTGGGTCACCATAACATTACTTGGGTCTCTAGATTAACAATCCATGATAATACCATTAGGACATCACCTCCCCCACTAGTTATCTCCTGGTATTGCTGATGTGGAAGTTTCAGGCATGGAGTGAGTGCATCTTCACATTTACTGACCTGACACTGCAGCTTTATTTCTCACTAAGAAATTATAAGTGGTTCTTGAACTCTTTATTAATCCATCAATGCAAAAGTGAAGACTTGTACTATTAAAGGATGATTCCAAACCCAATGTGAGGCTTAAATTGGATTGAATCTGATGGTATTTCTTATGGAGAGCCTTGTACTTTGTACTGGGAGATCATTTGACGAATAGATATGGCATCTTCCTCTGCTATTACTTTTTTTTAATTTTGCATTTCTGTTGCGTTCTAGATTTCTTTTACTGTGCCCAGAGTCAGAGGAATCTTGGGATTGAAATTGAAAGAGGGTTGAGACCAAAACAGGCACTAGGCAGAAAGCTGTGGGAAGGGACAAATGAAAAAGCTTAAAGTAGGTGAAGTTTGCACCAGGAGTTGAGGTGGAATGAAAAATGATGTGTTTATGCCATAACTTAATGTCCATCTCAGCACTTAAGAAACCAGAGTACACATTTTATCTTATAAACGGCAATGAGGGGAAGGATCAGTTAGCTTGCTTTTAATACTACTAATTAAGGTATATTTTTTATAACATGCGTTGCAAGTGTCTATCCAAAATTACTGGAAGAAGTAGAGTTGAGTTAGCATCTTTTACCAAAAGGAGTGGTACCTCAGTATGTCGTTGTAATGTCAGCCTTGACTATGTTGCCCAAGTTCTAAACTGAGGCATGAACCTGCAATTATTTGACCTAGAAGCAATAGTGCTACCAACTAATTCAAATTAATTAAGTTGCTGACAAAGACATGAATTGTTCATGTTGATGTTTAAGAGATTGAAGTTGGCAACAGTGTAGAAGTGTGTATGTGGTTGTGGCATTTTTAATGTGGAGGAGAGTCTGCCTGATTAACCTGTAACGTTTGCTCAGGAGGAGAGAGATCACCAAGATTGAAGAGTGAAATGGGAACCTTTATTTTTACATTTATCATTTAATGAATTTGTCATGTATAGATTATATGGCAATTACCATTTTTAAGTGTCAAGGACAAGGATCTTTTCTAGCAACTGAAAATAGGTTTAGGTTATTTTCCGAGCGATGTAATTGGAATGTTCCACAAACAACAATTAAATAAGGACTAGAAATTATGTTGATTAGAATAATATTCATTAAGAAATGTATATTAGCCAGGATAATATTTGCAATGGCAAACACATGAATTACACGTGTATAGTATAACAGACATGGGGAAAAAAACTATTTCTTCATCTCCCACCCAAATTTATCTGGGGACTTGAAGAATGACAGAAATTATTATTCCAAGCGTTCATTGCTCTTCCAGTGAAGGTATGGCAGCAGATTAGGTAGAACCCCATAGAAATTAGCAGACAGTGCTTTTAATAACATACATTATCGATATCACCAGTGATAGTAGATGATCCATTGTGTATCCAGTTTATGTAACATGCTTGCAAAGCTTTGCATCTGCTGATTATCTGCTCACTAACATCACCCTTATTGAGGGGCTATTCCTTTCCCTTCAGTGCAAATGAATTGCAAAAGCAAAATGCAGCAACATTCAGTTAAAAGTTGCCTCTGCCAAATGAAAGATCTGTATTTTCTGGTAGTTTAACTGCAGAATGAAAGGGTACTATTACCTGAATTTTATTCTGTCGCAAATATGGCAGAATGTATCTAGAGAGAAATAGAGTTAACATTTCAAGTTGAATGTGACTGCTCTTCAAAACCTCTTCTTGTGCTCTGAAGAAGAGTCATACTTGACTCAAAATATTAACTCTGATTTTCTCTCCACAGTTGCTGCTAGACCTGCTGAAAGTTTCCAGTGTTTTCTTCTTCTTTAATTTCAGATTTCTAGCATCTGCAATATTTTGCATTCATATAAACATTACCAACATTGCTGTCTGGGTGATTTCCTAGTTACAAGCATTGCTGTTTGGTTACTAAAGAACATTTCATCACTGTATAATCAACACAACTGTTGTATAAGTATATTAGAATAAAGTCTTAAAAACAATGAATTAGTTTTATTCCTCTCTCAGACTAATTATATTGCTGAGGAACCCAGCAGCTGTAGTAATTATATTTAATCTTATGGTCTATAGCTTCTGTTTATTGCTTTTCAGAGACTGTAGAGAATGAAACCTGACATAATGCTGTTCAGAAACGTCACTGAACCTTGATCCATAATATTGATGCAAACAAATTCAGTACAGATCAGGTTTGATGTATGCATGTTCTTGCCAGAAAGGACGGGCATTCATTCATACCACCTCAGGGAACTCTTAACATGCTAATTGTCTCTCCTCAACCAGAACCCACTGTCCCTTGTGAATGTGCTGAATATTGGTCTAGAATATAAGTACATCTGGTAGAGGTGGTGTTTTTCATTGGTGTTCTATGCAGCTAGATCCACATTGGCTGCCTTAACTGTTGACAGTGATCTATAACTGGCAGAGCTGAAGTGAAATGTAGGGAATTGAGAAGACTTCCAACTACAGAAGATGATTTAGTACAGAGCCCCTCTACCTCCAGGCAGTCACAGCTATCATTCCCAGAGCACATATTTCATATTTGTTCAGAATAAGCTGTGGAAATTCCCATTGTTAGTGCCTGTCAAGTCAACCTGACATGAAGAGGTTGTTATCTGACAAGCAATTTATCTCTTAAGTGCCTCTGCAATCTGCAAGAAGATTCTCTTGAAGTTTG